TGTCAGTTTGCCTCCATCTTTAGACATTATTCTTAAGTCTTTACTCAAGTCTCTGCCTCAGAATTCTGCCTCTTTGCTCCAGTGATTTAAAAATTACTTGTGAGCCTGTAGTCCCAGCATTTTCGGAGGTTGAGGCAGGCAGATCACTTGAGGCCAGGAGTTTGAGACCAGCCTGGCAAACACAGCAAAACCCTGTCTCTATTAAAAATATAAAAATTAGCTGGGTATAGTGGTACACACCTGTGTTCTAGCTACCCAGGAGACATGAAAATTGCTTGAACCCAGGAGGCAGGTGTTGCAGTGAGCCGAGATTGCACCACTTCACTCTAGCCTGGCAACAGAACAAAACTGTCTCAAAAAAAATAAATAAAATAAGAAACTTTAGAGGCCAAATGGAGTGGCTCACAGCCTATAATCCCTGTTCTTTGGAGGCAGAGGTGGGAGGAGCGCTTGAAGCCAGGAGTTTGAGACTAGGCTGGGCAACATAGCAAGACCCCATCTCTACAAAAAAAAATTCTTTTAATTAGCCAGGTGTGGTGGCACATGTCTGTAGTCCCAGCTGCTTGGGAAGCTGAGGCAGGAGGATCACTTGAGCCCAGAAGCTTGAGGTTACTATGAACTGTGATCAGACTTCTGCACTCCAGCCTGGGCAAAAGTAACCTCTTGTCTCTAAAAAATAAATAAAAAGACTTGTGCTCATTTTTCATGTTTTTACATGAAAATTCTGCAAGCCTAGGTTATATCAGTAACAAAAAGGGGCAGAGAGGTTGGCTCAATTATTTTAAAAGTAACTAAGCAGGTAAGAGTTTTAGAATCTTCCATCCATCACCTTCCTAGTACGCTTCTTGGTTCTTATCCCAGCAATTAGTTGCTTAAAACAAAGCCCTTTATGTTGGTAGTGGTACCATATAATTTATAGTCCCTGCACTGTTGGATAAGGGGATTGGCACACTTTTCCCTTCCCTATCACTGCGGTGGGAAGATCATTTAGAAGACTAAGTTTGATTTGAACCTAGGGCCAAATTACCTACTGCAAATCAGTCCTCCTCCTCCCCCTTCCCCTCACAAAAGCCAGAATTCACTGTGAAAGGTGACAGGTGTATGTTCAACTCATTGTATGTTGACATATGGTCAGTATGAGGGAACGGTCCCTAATACAGATCTGTTCCATGGCATGACCAGCATGTTGTGGATTTCTAACAGATGCAAAGCAGTGAAGGAGCTTGAACCCCAAATACAAATATTTTAAGTGTTCAAATTTCCTTTTTTTTTTTTTTTTCATAAGGACCAGACAGATTGATGGCATCTTGCGATAAATTTATGACACACTGATGAACAAGACCTTGGAGGAACTTGTAAAGAGAAGTCACCAAGGCCCTGTGTCTTTAGGTGTCCATTGTGGAGAGTGTATATATGCCTATGTAAGAAGCGTCGGGGTGAAAGGGTCATTACCTTTGGTTGAAAATGGTGAGGAGGTCATTATGCATGTAAGAAAATCTTTGTTCTCTTCAATTAATAATTCTACAAAACGAGAACTATCTTGGGAAACTGGGCTTTATGAATTCAAAGTATACTTTATCAAATTCTTTAGATCTCATATTTAAAACTATTTGAACAGATAAATATTGAACCTTAGACTTTGCCTGTTCCTTTCAATGGAAAAAATATAAACTCTGATAATAGGGCTTATATTTTTCCTACTATTCCCCCTTAGACAATAGTAGGAAAAACTGCTGGTCCCCACGAAGTTTTCATTCATCTCACCACTCTCTTCCCCATTTGTGAGCAGGAATATGAAGCTGCCCAGGCTCCCCTTTTAATCACAGAGTCTAAGACTAGGGAGTCAGATCACCTGTTAAAATTACAGTGTGGCACCACGCGTCTTTGATTTGTATTTGCAGCCTTCCCACTACTTGGCTTAAGTTGTAAAAATCACAGGTAACCATGGTCCTGTGGCAAAGTTGTGTATCTCTTTGGGTTCTTTGTTGCAGTTAGTAACTCTTGTTTACAGGAGCGACTTTAGTGGAAGAATATCGAGAATATATAGAATTGATGAGAAAACCAAAGAATGAGGGTTGAAATAGGCAACAAAGCAATTCTGGAGTTCCAGGAACCATGAACTATTTGAAGGTGTTTGTACTAAGTCTCACCAGGCCTTTACTAATGCTGTCTGAGAAGGAATATGGTGGTGCCAGGGACTTTTGGTCTTCTGTAGTACCCACAAGGATTTCCCAGGAATTTTCCTTTCTCCAAGGAGCATCCAGCTGGCGTAGCTTGGGCCATACAACCACACCTTGATGGACGGAAGGGTGGACGCCTGATTGCAGTCTCACTGGGCCTTATCTAAGACAGACCATTCTTCAAAGGCAAATTCAGATGGATTTATTGGAGGAAGTTATTTAAGCAGCCAAAAAAATCAAGCAGTCACCCCAGGATAGTAGAAAGGGTTAAGGACAGATGCAGCCAGTACTAATATTCCTTGGTAATGAGGGTTAGGAAACTGTGCCTATGTGCATTGGCTTTGAAGCAGGTCTCTCTGTCTCTGGCTCTCTCTAGTCTCCCCCTCCCCCACCCACCCCTCCCAAGCAGTTACACTTTGTTTTGGGAAATTAGATTTTTTTAAAAAGTCCTTGTGATGGCTTCAATGTTTACCCTATTTACCCTATGGCACAATTTACCAGTTGTTAAATCTGCTGTATTCATAACTGCCCAGCTGTCAAGAATTTCACATTTTAATTATTATTTATCAGTAGTGAAACTTTGACCCTTTGGATTCACCTGGTGATTTTAGATGGTTATTAGAGATGATTTGTATACGTAGCACACACAGTTACCCAACTTTGCTTCATGATTAAAGCTGTAACTTTAAGGAAATACTCAGTTATCCTGCCTAGCTTTGTTATTAGGGAAATGAGGATGGAATATCCTACACCTTACGTACACTTTCCCCATTTTCAAAGGAGAGTGCATCCTTTCAAAAAGAAATGAATTTTAATATCCTGAACTGTAGTGACGGCATGTATCTTTTTGCTTTCTGTGAACATTTAACAATGGTTATAGCAAACCTCCTAGGTGTAAGGGAAAAAAAGGATTAAATGCAGTTTTATGAAATTAATTTAAAATAATGATTTAATGACACTCCTCTTTGAGTCCCTGTAAAGCTCCAAATTTCTGTAGCTCCTACCTCCAACTTCTAAACTGTTAGTGTAACGCCAAACAAAAAGACTGCGGACATTCTGATCATCACTCGGAGGTATGGTGGGAAGTTGACCTACTGTGTTTCTCTTTCAGCATCCAGTGTTGGATGAGCCAATAGCTGAAGCTGTCTGTATTATCGCAGACACGGATAAATGGAGTGTGCAGGTAGCTACGAGTCAGAGGAAAGCAACAGACAACATGAAACTAGGCCAGGATGTCCTGGTCTCTAGTCAGGTGTCCAGTTTGCTTCAGTCCATCTTACAGCTCTACAAGCTTCACCTCCCTGCTGATTTTGTAAGTACTGGTTCTTACATCACCAAAGAAATACAGTTTTAAAATACTTTTAATGACATTTTGCTTATACAATCACAAACTCAAAAGTTTATTGGAGGTTGGCATAACTAAAACTAGAACATGCAACATAAAACCAGCAACAGGATAGATTTCAGTAACAGTAGCTCTTCCATGAAACAAATAACAAGGAGTAGCACTGGAATTTTTTGGAACAAGATATATGGTGCAGTAAATAAGGAACGGGTGGAGAGATCAAGCATAAAAGGAAATTGTAAATCATGTACTGGGGAACTCATGAGTTCTCCTTTTATTAGATTGGCATTAAAATAAGTAGGCCAGTTTGTAAAAGGATTGTAGTTCCCTCTGTTAAGTGAACATTTTCACAAAAGTGTTAAGGATAAAATAGAGTATGGTTTGTGCAAACATTTCAAATTTGGAAGTACTATACACATGTAATATCAATTGTTGCTTTTTTTTTTTTTTTTTTTTAAGATAGGGTCTTACTCTGTCACCCAGGCTGCAGTGATATGATGGGGTGATCTTCACTCACTGCAACCTATGCCTCCTGTGCTCAAGCGATCCTCCCACCTCACCCTCCTGAGTAGCTGGGACCACAGGCATGTGCCACCACGCCAGCTAATTTTTGTATTTCTTGTAGAGACAGGTTTTGCCGTGTTGCTCAGGCTGGTCTCGAATTCCTGGGCTCAAGCAATCAGCCCGCCTCTGCCTCCCAAAGTGCTGGGATTACAGGTGTGAGCCACCGCACCTGGCCTAATTGTTTCTTTCCAAATGGAATTTTAAAATCACTTTCATAACAATGCTTTAAATACAAACAACAAACAGAGCCTATAAACTCTTAGAAAGCTGTCAGTAGCTCCCTGCTAGCCACTGGAATTAACATCCACAACAAAAGATCTTTTCCGAATCTGTGTATGTGCTGAGAAATTGAAAGAAAGAGAAAATACATTTAGAGAGGGAGGGGGAAAGGTTTCAAAAGAAGAAAAGCGTTTCTAGTGATGATGAACACTTGAGAGAGAGAGAGAAGCTTATGGGCATATGGCATACAGCTAGTTAAAGCCTGGATGGGCTGACCTTCGAGACAGGTGTGTCAGGAAAGAGTCTGCATAGCACTGTTCTCTGAAGCACAGCCCAAACCCAGAATAGCTGTTGTCTGCCTCCTGGCCTCCAAAAATGATGCCAACCTGTTTACTCAACAAAGCAGGAAGCTTTTGAACATTAATTACCTACGCTAATTGCAAATGCAGTGGTCACTGGCCTGGGTTTTTATGACTGAATCTATACATGTACCCATTCCTTAAAAAGAGTCAAGACTTTTATGGCTTTGAAGAAGGTGCTCCGAATACCATCTAGTTGTTATCAAAGTCCTGACAGCGTGGCAAGGCAGGAGGACCACACTGCGTAGCTGGGTTATGGTCTAGGCTTTGCCATTGGTTAGTTGTGTTACAATGGGCAATCCTGAGACTCTCCAAGCCTCAGCTTTCTTATTTGTAAAATGAAGATAGTACCTGTTCAACAAGGGTTTTGTGAGAATCTTCTGAAAATTAGGAATGTGATAACTGCTTTTTACTGCCAAAGCACCATGCCAATATAAGATACTTTAAAGGCCATATATGTTAGCTTTAGAGTCCAACAGCCTGGAGTTAAATACAAGTTCTGCTCTTTCCTAACCATGTAACCTTTCAAAGCCTCAATTTCCTTATCTGCAAAGCTGGGGAAATAATAGAACCCATCTCATATGGTTATGAGATTATATTAAGAGAATTAACATACAGCATTTGGAATGGTGTTAGATGTTATAAGCATTCAGTAAACAGCTACTGTTAGTATGATAGTTAATAACAATTAGTTTCATGAATGATTGCAAAGACTGACAACACCTTTTTTTCCACACTCTCTTTATTTTCCAAACTCTGTATGTTAAGCTGAAGCATACTCTTGGAAGACATCTGTCCTGGGGCAGTATGAGAAGCATTTATGGATTATGATCTTACTTTTCATTCTACAGTTGTAGGCCATTTTTCCTTCTAGAAGCAGGTTGAGTTATGCTGATTTAGAGGCTAATGTTTCCTTTTCTGTAAGGGAAGGAATGTGTATTAGGCTTCATAGTTATAAATCTTAAAGTATTTGCCAAACTTTTGTATTTCATTCTATGATACATAGATCTTGTCATAATTGGTATCTTGGTTATCAAAGCAATTATAGTTAATTCTTTTTACTTCATTTGGACAGAAGTATGTTCAAGCACTTAGTAGTATGAAAGCCTTATTTAACCTAACAAAACCAAGATGAAAGAAAATTTTACCTGCAATTTAAAATTCACTTAAAAAAAAAAATCACTTGAATGGAACCTGTGATTTAAATGGCTTTTAGAACCTTCAATACAAAAAGTGAAAGTAGCTATTTGAAATTTCGGAAATTAAAAATTGGAGAAATCCAATAAAATCCCAGAAAGGGGAATTAGAAAGCCCCCAGCACTGTTCGATTTAATACTCAAGTATTTTTTTTAATGGTTTTTTTTTTTTTTTTTTTTTTTTTTGAGACAGAGTCTCATTTTGTTACCCAAGCCATAGTGCAGTAGCATGATCTGGGCTCACTGCAGCCTTGACCTCCTGGGCTCAAGCAATTTTGCTACCTCAGCCTCCCAAGTAGTTAGGACTACAGGTGTATGCCACTATGCCCAGGTAATTTTTTAATTTTTGTGGAGACAGGGTCTCACTATGTTGCCTAGGCTGGTCTCGAGCTCCTGGACTCAAGTAATCCTCCTACCTTAGCCTCCCAAAGTGCTGGGATTACATGCATGAGCCACTGTGCCTGGCTAAAAGTTGTCTAAATGCTTGGATTTCATGTCTAGTATATATACATATAGACCAGAGTTCTTATTTTCACATTGCATCATATAGTTTTCAGACTGTAAACACTGTAATTACTTTTTCAAAAGAGAAAGGATTCAATGTAATATGAATACTTTTTAATATTTTGTAACTCTTATTGAAAATTTTCTGTTTCACTCCATAAGGAACTGAAAGCTAATTAGAGATCCTTTCACCACTTTGTTTACTTGGAGGAGCATTTCTATGAGAATTGGTGAAATCTCTCTTGCTTTATAACTCTTAGTCACTTAGCAGTTGTGTTTCATCCACCTGACACAATGCATTTAAGATTTTAAACCAATGAAAAACTGAAAACATTGCATCTCTCATAGATATTTTTCCATGCCACTGATCAGCCCAGATGGTCAAGATCAACATTTTCAAATGCATCTGTTAATTTTTTTACCTTGAAAATAACAGGCCTAATGGTCTAGAAGAAAATTATGTATGATGGAATTACCGTTGCCAAAGCCATCAGGTGTCTTACTGAAGCTGCTTGGGTAGCTCTGCCTGCCAAATGCAAAAGCATTTGCCTCTGGTGAAAGACACAGATGGTTGCTAGTCCCTAAAAAATGCAGCAGAACACCATTCCAAGGGAAAAGATGTCCTGAAAATAATTGCCTTTTCTTTATTGTTACTAAAGACCTAGTTAAAATATATTCTTGAAGAAAAAAAAAAAATGCTGTGGGGCAGGTTCAAAGTGACCTATTCCAGTCAGTCTCCTGTGGAAATGCAGTGGGCCAGAATAATCTGAGATACTGGGAGGAGAAAACAAAAGAGATACTGTTTACTAAATTATTTATAAGAACAAAAATGCAAATTGCTATGTGGGTAAGTGTAAATTCACATTCTCAAGATTGTTTAGCTATAAAAATTATATCAATAAAGAGTTCTTAATAATGTGGGAAAGGATTATTATAAAGTGTTTAAAGGCAAGGAATGTACTTTCGGAATGATTTCAACTATGAAAAAATACTTAAGAAGACCAGAATAATACATATGTAAATCTTAATAGTTAGCAAAAGTAAGTTTTGTTTTACAAGAACCTATTCTTATACCTGGTAGCGGTAGGGTTTGTGATGGCTTGTGATTTTGTAAGTGTATTTGAAACGGATGAGATTGAAACTATATAGTTAGAAATGAATTAAGGAAATTCTTTAAATATTGGCAGATATTTGACTTCTCTTCCTCATTATGAATGTTCTTGGCTTTGCAGTGCATCATGCATCTTGAAGACAGACTACAGGAGATGTACCTTAAAAGCAAAATGCTGTCTGAGTATCTCCGGGGACACACACGAGTCCATGTGAAAGAATTAGGTGTCGTACTGGGGTGAGTTCTGTGAAGTGCTGTGAAGCATTGTACCCACTGATGTGTTCAGCCTGTGCCAACGTAAACTCAGGCCCTGGTCACCCATCAAAGTATGTGGAGTCCATCAGATACATGCCTCTGCAGCTCCCCTGTGAACAGCATGTTCCTTGTATCTGATTGATACTGGGCTTCATACGCCCCAAACAATCGCAGGGGTTTAGGCTGGTGGTGCTCTGTTACTCCTCTGCGTGGATTATCTTAGGCTTGAAAAGAAAATTTAATCCCACACTGCCCGTTTCCAGTAACTGAGTAAGGTGCTGAAGTCACAAGCTGTGGGACATGCAGCAGCAGCTGGTGTTTACATTTCACTTCCTGGAGGAGGAGCAGGTCACACATTCCGCCCGGTGGCAGGAAGGGCCCTTCTGGGCTTGAGCCTGCCTGAGTGTCTGCAGGGTGACAGCGGTTTCCTTCCTTTATTATAAGCCCACTGAAGAGGAGACATGTGATACTAAAATTTCCTGTCATCCTCCAGAGGGTATTTGCTATAACTTCTCTAGAGGAAGAAATTCTGACCTTCGTTTTACTGTCTGCTTGATTTTTCAAAAGAGAACAAAGACATTGTCCATTTGGGGAACTGCCCCCCGCTCATCCATGATGACAATTCCCCAAACTCAGGACAAGAAAATATCGTTTATATTGTGGACGTTTAAATTCTCTAAGCCTGCTAAGAGACCTGGGCCTTTGTATTTTCCTCAGATTTTTCATCTTTCACACCCAGAATGTGATGCCTGTACTATTTGGCTCTGGGCATTTCCTGTCATAGATTTTTCTTACATACTTTATTTACTAAGTATTTCCCCCTTATAAGGTGTTTGCTTTTGCAGTTAACTTGCAACATGCCTCTTTGTGATTTCTTTGCTTTTGTTTCTCTCTCTAGCAGCCTCTTACTTCAATCCTGCCTTATTAGACTGTCCACTGCCGATGTGCACCTTACATTTCGAGGACTTTCCCTGGTCCTCGACCCTCACAGGTGTGCATCAGCACCTGTTATCATAAGCTGCGATTCCCCTTTGCTCTTCTCTAGGTCCTCTTAGTGCCTTATTAGTGGGCCCATGTTCATCCTTTCCTTATCCCCCTCCGCCCACAGTCAGGGCCAGTAGGACTAAAAGCGCTAGAGAACTTCTGTCCACTCTGAAATCGGATCTGTATGTAGCATGACTGGAGACGAACTAGAAAACCCCATGAAGTGATGCCAGATACTGTTTTAATTTTTTATTATTTTGAGAAAGTCAAGGGAAAGAATTAGGACACATTCCACAGACTGAAACAGTTGAATTTTTTTAATGACACCTGACATCATTTAGCCAGTGCCCATACTGTATCCACCTCAGCTGGAAGAGAGGCAGCCAGTGCTGTGTCCGTTTGAAACTACCATGTCTCTTAACTCGGTATCTTTTAGTGTCACCTTGCTCTCAGAATCTTCTGAGGATCTCAGTCGTATAACCTTTGAACACATGCCCAAGGTTTCAGAAATTGCTACCATCACCATTTTTCTAAGAGCAATCTGCCCTTAGGTGAAAAATCAGTATGCATTTAGGAGTGTGGAGTGGAAGAATGAGTTTGTAATGAGAAAACCTTAAAGTATGATACAATGAAGTTATACAGGGAACACAGGAAAGTGAGAAAGTCTGGTGGCCCCTGCCATGAAAGAGCTTTATGTCTCACACAGGCACAACACACTTCCTGTGTTTCTCTCCCTTTGCCTCCCTGGTCAGTGTCCACTGGAATATTTTATGAAAAGAATAAGTTTATTATCCTTCCTTCTGCTTTGCTTTTTCATTAGTTTTAAATGATACTCAAACTTGGTACCTAGAAATAACACTTTCTCATGCTATTTTCAAGTAATATTCTTTTCTTTTCTCGATATTCAGGATTGAATCCAACGACCTGCCTCTGTTGACTGCTATTGCCAGTACTCATTCTCCTTATGTGGCTCAAATACTCTTATAAGCTAAAGCTCAGGATAGTTCTTCCTTGGAAGAAAAAAATCAAATTCTCAACGGAAGGAGAAAGGAATAAGCTCTCTGTGATGTCAAAAGCATGAGAAGAGCAAACAGAAACAGTCATTCCACCTTTTTGTTTTGTGTTTTTGCTGTCAAGCTGATGCTTCATTGAAGACTTAGGTTTACTTGACATAATGGCATTTGTGATTGTCTGGAACACTTCAGGCCATTTGTTACCCATGAATCAAAGAGACCTTTTTGATAGGAGGAAACATAAGCACTACACTAAACGCTAAGCTATTGGGACAGATCGCCTTGTGCTGTTTGGGCAGAATAAGGACAAGTGACTTGAGCGGGGAGGTCGACAGTGTACATAACATTCCAGTAGGAAACTGCTTCCAGGTTTGAGCATGAGCTCCCCAAACTGGAGAAAACATACGTTGCTATTCTTAGACGACAGTCAGAACGCAGACTTTGGATTCCAGGTCAGGGTTTGCTTTTTACACAGGGTGAAACGAAGAAAGCCACACTGTGCCATCTTCAGCTCCAGTGGCGGTAGCAGTTGACTATTTGACATAAGACATGTAAAAGTATTGCCTGTTGGGAAGAGTGCTTTAGGGACCCACTGTTTTCATTTCTTCTGGGAGTTTACCTTGTTTCAGATGCAGCCACAGGTAGGTCAGAGATGGATTGTTGGTGCAATAAACCCAAGAATCAATGTAGCCTCTTAATCCCATCAAGATGTAGTTTGTAGCAGCAAAGTGTACAGTCTGAAACCATGTTTTATCCTTGTATTTTAGAGCTTTCAGCAGCCTTTTTAAGAGAGGCCATTTACCAAAGTTATTTCTATAAGCTCAAGAGTGTTTCTGTTGGTAAGTTCTTCCAGCT